CTAATGTGCCGTGAGTTTCAACTAGTTTCAATTCCTATGAAAATCCGAAATGCCCGGAAAATCCGTTGTTTAAGAAAGTGCAGAGGGCCATTGCAAAGGCAGAGGGCGGTTATCTTTGAAAAACAATGTGTGCATTTTGTCCTTAATGGGGCTCATTAGGTAGGTGTTACCGGTTATCTGCTGCTTTAGTTAACAGTTTTTCACCACCCAGTCACCAACCAGTCTGGTGCGTTTGGCGAAAATAAATTGAGGTGTTTTTCTTTTCCTGGTAAGCTTACCTACCTGGGAACAGTCAGGTGGAAATTCCTTGCATTTTGGCCGTCCTTCTGGAGGGTTTGAAAATGTTATCGACGTAGCGACGAGTCACTTCAGTTCTTGTTCACACAAGTGTTTGGGCGTAACAGAATGTGATGTTGACCTGGCAGGTAGGCGAGACCGACAGCAGGAGAAATCGCCACTACCACTTCGAGTACGGCAGTTGGAGCAATTGATCCATGGCATGGGGAGAGGCGGAGAGGAAAAAGAGGGTCCAGTGTGCTGTAATTTCGACCCAGATGTGTATGAATCAGTTGGGCGATGTGTTGTGCCACTTTAGTCTTTTGAGACAGGTTTAAGAATAAGGCACCATGGGGTCGGTTATCGTACAGGGTGGGTTGCAATACTCGATTCTAAGGTCATCGAAATAGCTCATGATGACTCATTCATTTCCAACCAACTGACAACGGTAAGCTTAGCACTCCAACTCGACCTACACTCAACCTACGTTGAATTCAACGGCATTAGAGACTAGTCCGTTACTGAACAGCTGAATCTTCTCACGCTGTTCGTATCGGTAGTGTAAGGCAAGTTTTTTCAGTCGCGATTTCTGTCTGACCGGACATGATTAGGTACAGGAGGATGAACATGAGCGATGTAAACTGAAAACGACAGCCAATTATTATTAATGACTAATATATTAGACATAAATTCGTTTCTTTTCGCATCAACCGCGTCAGTCTTGTTCCGCAAACCACCGGTGCTTCATACTCGGAATGGCTGAGTCAGGGGACGTTTGGCCCACCTGCTCTCCACCGATAAAACTTATGAAACAATGTTCTATACAAACTGTTCATCACGTATGTTCGTGACAGCCGTCTGTTGCATTCATCACAGTAAAATACTTTTTTCCAACTCATTTCGGCTCATCAGTGGAAACGAAAATCGAGGGACAGGGTAGATGGACATGTCGGTTGTTGTTGGTTTTTCAAATTTTCTGAGCCAATTAACCAAATCGGAAGTTTGAGGGATGCCTCAAATTTTCACTCCTAAAGCCTGGATTTGAAAAGGTCCCCCGGAATGGACGATGTAGACATCATCATCATCATCACTGTCAGCTGTAATAACCGCATACTCGTCGTACAGTGGTTGTAGCTGCCGCAGTTTCTTTCACCGATGTTTTTTTGGGGGGGATAGGTACAGTGGGCTGTCAAGTGGAAAAGGAGCTATGCATTGAAGGCAATAGCTTGGATGCACGAGCGCCATATAGGGCGCGACTGGGCCATATCTGACAATGTCTCTAGCCATT